TATGTCCCTCTCCCAGAGCTGCAGATTCAATGCCATCCTTAGAAATAAATTCTTCTGGGAGGAGGGGCAGGTGTCCACTTATTATTTGGGACTGGGGCTGGCCCCCTAGACCTCTCCACTGGTTTCCTACTCCACACCAGCATGTTGCATTCACATATTGAAGGACTGAGTTGAAGTCTGGTCCCTCTATTCAGTCTGTAGGCTGAGCAAATAATCTGAGGAACTGCATTATATAAAGAAGAATTCAGCATCAAAATTTGAGGAAAGCTCATTCACAACCTGCAATTGTCAGATGGCACAACCTTACTCGCTGAAAGCCAAGAGGACTTGAAGCAATTAGTGATGAAGGTCAAGGATGACAGACTTTGGACCAAGAAAGAGCATTATGATAAACAGAGAATAGATTGAATTTGTCAAGGATTTCATTTTACTTAAGTCCACCATCAATGTTCATAGAAACATCAGTCTAGAACTCAAACGAGGCACTGCATTGGACAAATCCTCGTACTTCCTCTACACCTAGTAGAATGCCTTGTGTATTATAGATGCTTATCAAAGTATTATTGAATTGAATTAAAATGAACTCGAGGGTAGACCGTATCTTCTTGGGTTCCAAAGGCCCTTTTACTCTTTGGATGGCTGCTTCTTTCCCTCTACCTGCAGACGAAGACTTTAGTGATGGTCCTTCTCTCCCCTGCAGGTGGCCTATGACATGGGGGATTATTACCACGCCATCACGTGGCTGGAGGAGGCTGTCAGTCTCTTTCGAGGCTCCTACGGAGAATGGAACACAGAGGATGAGGCAAGTCTAGAAGATGCCTTGGATCACTTGGCTTTTGCCTATTTCCAGGTAGGGGAGTAAACGAGGCTTGATGTGTTCATCGTCATCAACACGATGTTTCCAGCTCTACAGTTTTCTAAGCATGTTCATTTCTTCCATCTTCCCAACAGAGTAAAAAATATTAAAAATGAGTTAAACAGGGCAGTTAGGTTATTTCATGATTTTGGTATCACATCGGAGTAAATCACATCTCCAGGAGATTTTTTAAAATTTATCATAGAACTGGGATTGGAACTCACACCCATCAAATTTGAGCCCAGCGCTCTTTGCCATGCACCAACTACTTTTAAAAATAGTGTTTTTAAAAAATATCTAATGGGTTTGTGGTAAATGCAGGTCACACTGCGGACTCTCAACAACTCATTTCTTCACAAATATGCTATGATGTTGCCGACACCCAAGGATGAAGTTTGGTATTTCCTCTCCCATCTGCAATTGAGTCTCATTATCAAATGACTAAGGTTCAGTTACCAGATCCTAGTTCTCTTGCACCAGTCTTGGTACCTCCTGGAGGTGTTATTTTTCCCTCGGCAGTGCTGATGCATTAAGGAGCTCCAGAGGCACCGTGGTTAAAGTTTGGGGGCTCCGCTGAAGAAGACGGGTGGGTTGAACTACAGCCGCTCTGTGGGAGAAAGATGTGCTCATCTGCATCTGTAACGATGTACAGCCTTGGAAATCTGTGAGTCAGAGTCAACTTGATGGCAATGAATGTGGTTGTTAGGGGGTTGATCCACTACCTGTAATGCTTCACCTGGAAGCCCATTTCCCTAAATCTGTGAGCAGCCCTCCTTTTGTGTACCTTGAGTTGGACGGTCTTCAGAAATAGGGTGGACATTCTACCATGGAGCAAATTCCCTAGAGTTCCCAAAGCGGACCAGCCAGGTCGGTTTCCTACATTCCTTTTCCTCCCCAATTCTCCTGAGTCAAGGGAGAGGGGAGAATGTGGGTGGCCCGAAACCGTACTTTGCTGTCAAAATAGAATTACTCTCAGGACAGAAAGCACACTGTTGCTTTCAAGAACGTTCTCCTAAGTGCATCTTGCAGTAAACCATTCCAAGGTGCTCTGCTAAACGTTCTTGCTCAATTGCTACGTGTTGAAGCTAAAACAGCCCCACTGTCATGGAACAAAGCGGGCTGAGAAGTAAATGCATTTCTTTCATGTGGTTTATTTATTTATTTTATTAAAAGATCACTTTATTGGGGACTCATAACTCTTGCTGGAATCCATACATCGATGGCATCCGGCATGTTTGTACAAATGTTGCCTTCATTCTTTTCTAGACGTTTACTTTCTATTGAGCCCTTCGTATCAGCACCTCTTTTTATCCCTCCCTCCCTTCAGCCCTCATAGCCCCTTGATGGATTATAAATTATTATTATTTTAATGAACTTTAATTAACGAAGAAAATGGAGAAATGACCTGGAGAAAATCAGAGAATATTAACCAAAGCAGATTGTCAACATTCCACATATAGTCCTTAATCCTTAGTTCTTTGTTGTTGTTTTTAACTATAATGCAGTCATTTCTCCTCTACTCACTGGTAGACTCTCCCTCCACAGTGGTGCTCTGTCTGGTGAAATGCTACTTCTCGTACAGGGCTCAGCTCAGATGTCACTCCTTCCTACAGTCTTTCTGAATGCTCCTCAGACTGCCCACCCTCCCCTCCTTGGACTGCTTAGAGCAGAACACATGTAGGGGACTGACACTCACCCCCACCCCCAATTAATTAGGAGTAGATGTCTCCACACGAACCATTCATAGCTTCAGTTCGTCTGTGTCTTACATATGCCATATAGCTGCCCACCAGCAGTTGATTCCAACTCAGAGCAACGCTTGGGCCAGGGTAGAACTGGCCCTGTGGGTTTCCACGGCGGCAGTTCTTTACAGGAGTAGAAAGTAGGAGTGGCTGGGGATTTCCAACTGCTGACCTTGTGGTTAGCAGCATATATTTTAATTTGAAAACAAAGCAAAAACCAACTTCAGGAACTACAGTGCTCCTGAGTGTAGGAATGTGATCAAGCCATAGTGTCTCGAGTCAGACCCGGCTCGTCGTCTGTGGAAAGATGGGCAGGTTAGTTCATCTCCCTGGGTCTGGTCTCAGTGTTCTTATCTGTCAAAGAAGAAGACTGATGATATTCACCTTGACGTTCTGTTAGGCAGCCTAAAGGGACCAGTGCACAATGTAAAGCCCTTTACACAATGTGTGGCGTAGCGCACTGCTCAGTGATGCATGCCACTGCCACGAGCGGCCGCTACCAATGTCCGCGCCCCTTCTCGGGCCTAGCATTCTTTAGTTTATACCAGCAGTTCTCAACCTGTGGGTCGCGACCCCGTTGGGGGTCGAAAGACTCTCACAGGGGTCACCCGATTCATAACAGTAGCAAAATGACAGTGATGAAGTAGCAATGAAAATAATTTTATGGTTAGAGGGATCACCACCACATGAGGAACTGTATGAAAGGGTCGCGGCATTAGGAAGGTTGAGAACCACTGGTTTATTAATTTTTTTCTGACCACTGGCTTATACAGTTCCAAAAATATCCAACTGAAACCTCACAAGCAATTCTAACTTTGGCCTTGATAAAATATAATTGTATTCTGTGAATAAGTCCTTGAGTTTAAAAGAGATGTAAGACTATAGCTTAGTTTTCTTCATATCACAAAACTTTGAAGAAGCCACAAAACAAAAACCCGCATCTGTGTCGCTTCTGACTCCTGGGAACGCCGTGTGTTACAGAGTGGAGCCAGGCTGCCTGAGGTCTTCAGTGGCTGGTATCCTTATGGAAGTAGATTGCCAGGCCTTTCTTCCTCAGTGTTTACAGGTAGACTCACACCACCAACCTGGGTTCAGCCAAATGTACAAGTGACTTTATAGAAACTATTACTTGGAGTTACTACCCGGCTATATGAAATCCCCAGTGTTGAACGATAACAGTCAGATATGGGACAGAATGCTTGATGATCTTAAACAATTAGAAACAATTCAGAGGTCTCACAATATGGGGCTGGTGAGATCCTCCATGTTGTAAATTCTGTGTGGAGTAAAATGCAGCCTTTAAAAACTACCAAGTCTGTGTAATAACAAAAAATACATTGGCAATAATGTAGACAGGAACCTTGGGATTTGACAAATAAAACTATATGCATAATTTTTAAAGTATATATAAAATATGGGAGAAAGCTGAGGCTTCCTACTTCTGTAAAGAGTTACAGCTTCGGAAATTCACGGGCGTTCACCCCTGTCCTAGAGTGTTGCTCTAGAATGGACTCAAGGGTAGTAGGCAGTGGTAGTGTACAAAGTGTAATTACAACTGTGTAAAAACGACGTTATCTCAAGCACTTAAGTAAGTGGGGCTTCAGTTCTTTTCTGGTTTTCATATTTTTTATAATGTGCTTATTATTTCTTTTATTGTTACGACGCTTTTCTTAAAAGATGCAGAAATAAAATGATTGAAAGCAAATGCCAGACCATGGGCCAAGCAGTGCCCAGCTCAGGACAGCAGCCCCCTTCTGCTGGATTCCTTTCCCCAGATTTGCCTGCAAAGACACTGTTTGCCTTTGACCATGGTTTCCTTAGGAGTGACTAGCCCCTGGGAGAGATCATTGCTATGCAGTGGGCATGGTTCCCATGTGACTTCGGCCTTCACCGCTCTGTGGCTAACTTCCGTAGACTCTAGGAATTCCTGAGCCTGCAGAGCAAGTTATCCCCTCTCTTTTTGGTACTAGAATGTTTCTAGTTTCATAATAAAACGCTGTGCCTTTGCGTGCTTCACAGTTTGGAGGCACAAGAAAGTTTCTTTTTCTGCCTTCGTGGGAAGGGTGGGTTTTTGGAATTGCACCAGGTTCACTCAGTGTCACGCAGTCCAGGGAGAGCTGCCCCTGTGGGTCTCCGAGGTTGGGGCTCCGAACCGCTCACCTGGCCTTGGCAGTACAGCACGTCATCTACTTTGCCACCGGGGCTCTTCGGGGAGCACCGAGTCATTTGTCAATGAGCCACTGGGGGACACTTGTGGAGGAGGGCCACTCATAAATCAGCAGCGAGTCCGGATTGAAAAGAAGGACCTTTCATATAGCGACTGCTCACGTTCATTAGTCTCGGGACCTACTCGGGATCAAGTGGTGAAAACACTTGAGAGGCTTTTGTTATTATTAATCCACTTACGGATTTAGTCAGAGGAGACCCCCTCTGTGCCACTAACGACAGGCTCTCCCCTTTTTCTTTGTAGGCAGGAAATGTCTCTCGTGCCCTCAGCCTCTCCCGTGAGTTTCTTCGCTACAGTACGTAACACGTAATGATCAAGAGAAACCAAAGGTCTGACTGACGTGGGAAAGTTCCTCGGTTCCGGGTCACTAGTCCCAGCAAAGGAAATAGTGATGTCTGTTGTTATTCTTCCAAAGCCAAGGTGCAGGACACGTTGCAGATGTCCGAAGAAATCTCACTTAGTGTGCAGATCAGTACACTGGGGGTAATTTTTAAGTTAGAAAATACAAAGAAGTGTTATCAGCCTGTCCTTCCCGCCCCCACCCTTGCTCAATCAGTTATATAAGAGCGTTGCTTCCATGGGGAACGAGGCCAGGATCCAGAGCCAGTTGCTTCAGAGACATGTTAAAGACCCCGAATTTGAAAGTGGACCTGGGAATGAGTGAAATCAATGAGCGCTGTGTGTGTCCGGAGGAGAGCGACCGGGCCTGACTCTCCACTTGAGAAGGATCGATTCTTGCCTTTCAATGGGGCTCTTATGCTGTACAAGCTTCCTGCCCCGTCAGCTGCCTGCCCCCTGAGACTCAAACCGGGGGAGGTGCTTTCTCCCTCACTGCTCACTGCTGCCCCTGGAAATTCTTGCATCAAAGTCTGATGGCAGGCGGCTCCCTAGAGCGTTCCTTCCACAAGCTATTCAGGCACCGAGGTCAGACTCCCGGCCATCGTTGGTTTTTGTAAGATTGATAACTGTTCCATGTGCTTGCTAAGTGCCGTTGGGTTGGTTCTGACCCAGCGACCCTCTGGGCGGCACGGACACTGTCTGGTCCTGAGCCGTCCTCACCATAGCTGTGAGGTCGAAGCCCCTTCTTGCAGCGACAGTCAGCCCATCTCCTTGAGGGTCTTCCTCTTTCTCGCTGCCCCCTCTACTGTACCAAGCATGATGTCTTTCCCCAGGGACTGGTTTCCCCTGATAACATGTCCAGAGTCCATGAGATGAAGTTTCGCCATCCTAACTTTGTTTAAAAAACATTTTATTGGGGGCTCATACAACTCTTATCACAATCCATCCATACATCCATTGTGTCAAGCACATTTGTACATTCATTGCCCTCATCATTCTCAAAACATTTGCTCTCTACCTAAGCCCCTGGAATCAGCTCCTCATTTCCCCCCTCCCACCCCCTCCCTCGTGAAGCCTTTATAATTTATAAATTATTATTTTGTCATGTCTTATACTGTCCGACATCTCCCTTTGCCCATTTTTCTGTTGTCGGTCCCCCAGGAAGGAGGTTATATGTAGATCCTTATAATCGGTTCCCCCTTTCTACCCCACCTTCTCTCATCATAACTTCTAAAGAGCAATCATTATTGTTTTAAAATATTTATAATCTATTTCCTGTAGGACTTGACAATTGTATTTATTCACAGCTTTTGAGAATTGTGGTGAAACCTGAAGGGGCTTCCAAAAGCTTGTAGAATAATTCTCTTATCTTTCCATTTCATTTTTCCATGAACTTTTTAATGCTTAGTATACATAATAAAATATTTGCCATTTCAACCATTTTGTGGGTGTAATTCAGTGACATTATTCATCCCGTTGTGCAACCCTTACCACTACCTGCTTCCAACCTTTCCCTCACTCATGACAGACATGCTGTGTCCCTTAAGCATTAACTCCTCCTCCCTTCTTCCCGCCTGCTCTGGAATCCACTAAGAAACACTGGTCTCTAAGCACTTATCTTCTGTAGACAACTCATGTAAGTAGGCTCACGGCATATTTTTCCTCTCATGCATCACAGTTCACCCAGCCTAACACGGTCAAGTCTTCCACGCCATCACATGACTCAGAACTTGACGGTGTGAAGGTCATGTAGGGAGACTGAAGGACTTGGTGGAATCGAGAAGGAATGTGCTTCCTGTTCTCCAGGGAAGATGGGTTAGGTCTATTACAGGCTTTGGTTCTTTGGACTTGTCTTTCACAGCACGTGCCATGTTTCCTTACCTCAAAACTCACTGCTCAAAAATCAAGTCGGCTCGGACTCTGATCACCCTATGGACTGCCCTGTGGGATTCTGAGAGGGCTGTAACGTCTCATCTGTCTCCTGAGGGACTGGCAAGGTGGAACTGCTGACCTTGTGGTGCCCAGCCTAAGGCACAGCCCACACCACCACCAGGGCTTAGTAGTTCCTCAATGAGTTTTTCCAACTAGGTTCTAAACGCTAGGAGATTAGCCTCAATCATGATCTCTGACATATTGCCATCGAAGATTGATTACATGGATGGTTGGATGGAGGAGTGAATGAATAAGGTCTCTTTCCTATGCCTGCAGCTAGCCATCACACTATCTTAACCGTCTACACGATCCCATGAGCTAAGAATGTAAGAACCAACTTCCTCCCAAAGCCCTTTGCACCTTTGGTAGGCTGAGATCTACCAGGTCCAACTCGATCATCTCTTAAGATTCCAGAAACCCCTGTGGTGTTGTACGTTGCCTTGAGTAGTTATTCATTGTGCCCACTTGCTAGGCCTGTGTGGCAGTGAACCTGCAGGAGACCTGGGCAGGATGCCATGTTTGCTGATGTGTCTTACTCCAACTCTGACTTCTCTCAGGTCCAGATAATAAGAGAATGGCCAGGAATGTCCTGAAATATGAAAGGCTTTTGACTGAGCACCCCAAAAGAATGGTGGCTGAAGCCGTCATCCAGAGACCCAATGTCCCCCACCTGCAGACCAGAGAGACCTACGAGGGATTGTGTCAGACGCTAGGATCCCAGGTAGGATTCCTCAGGAAAGGGGAAAGGGGAACAGGCTTGGCTAAAACATGAGGAGGGAGAACTGGGAGAATGTGGGGGAGAAAAGGCTGATGCATTAAAGCCATAAAGCTCCCTTGGGCAGCATCAGAAGGGCCACATTCTGTATCTGACAGTCTGTTTCTTAGGTCCTGGAAATCCTCATTTGTTTCTGCTCCTAGATCATTCTTCTCTCATGCCGAGTCTTCTCTTGCCTTCCAGCCCACTCACTATCAGATCCCTACCCTCTACTGCTCCTTGGAGACCAACTCTAGCCCCTACCTGCTGCTCCAACCGGTCCGGAAGGAGGTCATCCACCTGGAGCCCTATGTTGTCCTCTACCATGACTTTGTCAGTGACCTGGAGGCTCAGAAAATCAGGGAGCTGGCAGATCCTTGGGTGAGTGTTCCCAAAGCCTGCCAAGCACTTCCCTTTGTGTTTTTCCATGTGTGGAGTCAGAGCACAGCAGCCGGGACACCAAGACACTTCATTAGTCTGGGAGTTCTGCATGCCAACATCCCGTATGCTGGATAGAAGGGACGAAAGGGTGACGTGACAGGGCCATGAGTGGAATTCCAGTGCAGTCATACAGAGGACAGAGTGGACAGATGATCTGGTTCAGCTTCCTTTTTTTGTTATAGTGGAAACTGAGGCCTAGAGAAGGGAGGAACTGGATTTAGGTCATGCATTTCGCTAGTGACAGAGCCACAGCTGGGGCTGCGAGGTCCATCGATTGCTGTTCTGCCATTCCCCCTTCTTGTATCAGTTAACTTCGACTAAGGTAAGCTTGGGCATGACTCTCCACTTGAGAAGGATCGATTCTTGCCTTTCAATGGGGCTCTTATGCTGTACAAGCTTCCTGCCCGTCAGCTGCCTGCCCCCTGAGACTCAAACCGGGGGAGGTGCTTTCTCCCTCACTGCTCACTGCTGCCCCTGGAAATTCTTGCATCAAAGTCTGATGGCAGGCGGCTCCCTAGAGCGTTCCT